GGGGGCACGAGAGTGGGTGACCAAACACTGCTGTACGCTGACAAAACGCTTTTTTACTTATTCACTGCAATTTCGAGAAATCAACGAGTTTCAGTTTTCTTATAATATCTGTTGAGTTCAGTCAATGACGCTCTCTTCAGGGTGCGAGATCAACCGTTGATGCACTGTGCAAAATAGTTTAGCAATTATATAAGAAAACCGAAAATTGTTGATTTCACGAAACTGGAGTGGATTTTAAAAAGGCGTTCTGTCAGCGTACGAAGCAGTAGTAAAAGTAAAGCGGTTCCCACATCCGATCCGGATATTGGGGATTGCCTTGTTAGTGAGACAACTTCCTGGGCTTTGGACATATTGTGGTAGGGTTGATGCAGTGGTAATGATATAATAATACCTTTACATACATTTATCACGTGTCTGTCTTTGCTGTGAAATCAGGTGCTCGTCAAAACATTGAAATGGAAGAAACTGACATATTTCCGCCTGTTGGGAAATGTTTTTCTTTTTTTCTTTTTTGTTTTGTTTTGTTTTGTTTTGGCTTAACACTTTCAACGTCCATTTAAAAACACATTTTACCGAAAAACGTTCTTCATAATGATAAACAATGTAAATTTGCGGTTTTAAAAGACTCTCAGCTTTTGGAAGTCATCAGATTTCAATATTGTGTTGAAGGTTTTCTTTGTAGTAATTAATTCTAGCTTCAAACCATGCGTCCCAGGAACAAACGGCTTTTACTGTCCGTTTGGCAATTTCTGTCGATCTTTATTGTGGCTCAACACCATTCATGTTAATTTAAAACACATTTCTGTGCTCATTTTTCCTGAAAGACGTTAATTAAAGGCACAAAAATGCAAATAAAACATGGGGTAGAGAGACGGTGGGGCAGGGGGGGGGGAGAATTCAAAAGGGAGGCAGTGGGTAGTTAGGAGAGAATAGACAGGAAATATTACTGTTGAAGTACTGTGTGCTTGTAAAATTGACTTAAGGATGTGGTGCTAATTACGATTCTGATCTAAGAAAACCAGACAGACACAAAAGTTGTGTGGTAGACGGAATGTGGGAGGGGGGGGGGCAGGGAAGGAGGGATTGGGTAAAAAGAAGAGAATAGGTAGGAAATATTTATGTTGAACTGCAGTGTGGTTGTATAATTGGCTTTAAGGTGTGGTGCTAATTACGGTTCTGATTTAAAGGGACCACACAGACACAAAGGTGGCGGGGTAGAGGGAATTGGGAGGAGGGGGGGGGGCTGGAAAGGAGGGATTGGATAAAAAGAAGACAATGGATAGGATATACTTCTGTTGAACCGCAGTGTAGTTGTATAATTGTCTTTAAGATTTATGAGGACCACACGGACCCAATTAATGGTACAATGAGAGAGATAGAGAGTGAGAGAGAGAGGGAGAGAGAACGAGAGAGAGAAAGAGAGAGAGAAAGAGAGAGAGAGAAAGAGAGAGAAATAAAGACGGAGAGAGATTGAGTGAGAGAGAGAGAGAGAGAGAAATAAAGACGGAGAGTGAGTGAGAGAGCGAGAGAAAGAAAGATAGAGAGTCAGTTAGAGAGAGAGAGAGAGAGAGAGAGAGAGAGAGAGAGAGAGAGAGAGAGAGAGCGAGGGAGGGAGGGAGGGATAGGGGGAAAATGGTGAAATGGTATAGGACACAGTGACGGTCATGAAGTATAATGCTGTAAGAGGAGCAACAGGAATGGTGCCATGGACTACCCGCGTAACTGGTAGAAAAAGTCAAATGTTTTCTATTTTTCATTGGCGTCGGTAGTGTAGTGGTTAGGCTACTGGACTCGTAATCGTGAGGTTACGGATTCAGGGTTTCGAGCCTCAGGCCCGACGTTGTGTCCGCTGGAAAGGCACTTTACACGAATTGACCCCATTTCGCCCAGGTGGGAATGGGTACCCGGCCATAGACGGCGAAATATCTTGTCAGTATGTTAGTGTTTTAGTGCCTATAAAATGGCAACTTGCACTGTATTCTTCCAAGGATATTGAGATTGTTTTAGAATGATATCTTGTCTGCTGAGGTAATAATATATTGTAAAGCGCATATAGCTTGCTGTTGAGATTTCATTTGTATAGCGTAAATTCCCGCTCAACAGCAAGCTATATGCGCTTTACAATATGTTGATGTAAAGATGTTGACCTAAAAAGAAAGAAATCCATAAAAATGTATAAACGTATGGAAAATGTTGGGTTCTTCGATTTCACTATTCTAAGGAGAGCTTGATTTCACCACGATGCACACTAAATAGTAGTACTGGAGGTTAACCTCTGTAGCTTCCCTCTTCATTTTAATCAAAAGAGGTTTTTTTCTGCATGTTGCAAATTTTTCTATAAAGAGATATACGGATAGAGCACAATATCATGGACTTGTTGTGACGAGACAAGGTCAGGAATGTGGTCCATAGCCTCAGCGTCGACAGTAATTGAAAAACAATAACAAATCCGGAACTTTCAAGAACACACCTTGTTTGTCTTCAATCAGTCTCATTAGATTGTTGTCACAGGCTAATGGTGACAGAAGTTTATCGTTAAAACACTCTCACCTGCTTCTGGTGGAAGACTGTCGTATATGTTTCTTACATCAGAGAACGTACGACATTCTTACAAACCGATAGAGCCCTTCCAATAAAAGGAGCTGTATCGTGGACCACAAGTGTTCCCTTCCCGAGAAGGATTTAGAATAGGCCACTACAACAACGTACTGTTGTCCACACATTAAGAATTATTGTTCACTGAGAACTGAACGTGGACTTTTGGAAAAGCCAAGGATGGAGAAGTTTGAGTTAGCGCTCACGAGTGGCTTTCTTTTGATGACATTGCTGGTCCTACCTCTGGTCTGTGGCAGAAGTCTGGAAACATCACAGATTGGCCTGCTTGCAGATACAGCCTCACCACTCCCAAGGGAAAATGATACAATTGTAGCCACAGACATGGTAAAGAGTGATACAAATGCAGCCAATGTAGCCACAGAGAATGACACAACTGTAGCCACAGACGTGGTAGAGAATGATACAACTGTAGCCACAGGCGTGGTAGAGAATGATACAACTGGAACCACTGACGTTGGACAGAATGACACAACAACCATTGTCGGAGAGAAGCTAGACAAAAATGCCCCAGCACCAGAACAGCTAGAAGAACCTACAGAACAGGTTGCAGAGAACACTACGTCTTGTACCCTAAAAGAACCTGTGAAACCCATAGAGAAAAACACTACGTCTGTACCAGAAGAATATAGAGAACCGAAAGAGAAGAACATAACTGTATACGAACTGTGTGTGGATCAAGTAATCGACCCCTCCCTGACCCACTTTTCTCTGGTCAGCCCCAAGTTTGGGCGAGAAGGCTACCAACGATTTGAGCGTTGCTCACTCACCTATGGAGACACGGCAGTGCCTTTGGTCCTGCGCATGAACTTTCGGGTCTTTGACATTGCAGGTCATGTGACGTGCGGAAGTGGCCTAGTGAGAATCAACTACGCCATACTATGCGACAGTTGGCCAATGGGAAAGGAGCTAGACTTTCTGGTCAAACCAGCCGGTCAATTCTACCTTTTCTTCGACTCTAAGTACGGGCAGGTGAGTGTAGATGGTCCGATACAAAAACATCAAATAAATATGAAACGTGCTGAGAAAATTTGTTACTTCTCCGATCCAAGCCCTATGTTCACAGATAAGTTGAGTTTATAGTTGAGGTTGCACAATTATTTTATAAATTTGTAACGGCTAAAGATTATTTTATATTTGAACTTGAAGAAAATTGCACCGGTCAAAACTCTAGGATACAAATTTGCTCGTAACTTTAATTTTGGCCGAAATCTCCACCGGCGAATTGCGAGAAGTATTTCATTTTGTCCGCATGCATTTTTTAATATGATTTTTTTATTTTTCAAATATTCTTAATTAATAACTTTAGAGCCCATTTAGGGAGCTCTCGTGGCCTCTCATTCAAAGGTCCCGGTTTCGAATCCAGGTAGCGACCGAAAAATTTTCTTCTCTAAATTTGTCTCCTTTCACGTCCTTTCCTGCTCTCTAGCAATGTTCTGTCGTCTGCTTTCGTCTCCTCTTTCTGCTCCCACCCCCTCACCTCCTATGTCCCCTCCTCTGGGCTCCCGATTCTTTTTGCAGCCTTTCTACTGTCTTTCAGCCACACCCCTGATCTTCTGGTTGGAAAGATCCACACCTAGCCTTCTCCGACAAGAGCAAAAAATCTCGGAGGTCCCGTGTGCAAGTTGCGCACGTTAAACATCCCTTGGTGGTTTAAAATCGATAAGAGTAGGCTTCGGCCGCTACCCGGACAAAATTCAAAATGTCCTTCCACCTGAAAAAGTTTAATGTGTTCCGCGCGCTCATATGATCGTAAGCAGTTGTGAGCGCCGTAAACCACTTACAAAAACAAAACAAAAAAAGAAAATAGAGCCCATTTACCTTAAGCCTTAGTCCGTTCACAATAATTAAGTCTTCAGATTTTAAATATTTGGCAGTTTTGGGTTGGGTTTTTTTCAAGCCATACTTTTTTCAACGCTTTAGGTTGGTGTTAAAGTGTTCTTTTCCCCGGCATGGGTGGGGTTTTTTAGCCTTTGTTTTATTTGTTTTTTTGTTTGCTTTTTTTTCTTTTGTTTGTTTTTTCTGCCTTTTCATCTGAGATTGAAAATAAACATATTATTTACGGTTCAGTTCTGGAAGACATTTAATTATTTCAAGTTAAAAAAAACAACCTCGCTTTAGAACACATGGTAACTGAACATTTCCAAAAACGTGGGGGAAAATGCGCACACTCATCTGTATATACAGCAAAAGAAGTGGCAAAAACATCAACTTTCTCTTGTACTAAGTCTGACGACATAATACGAATCACATTGTATGTCATCACATTTATTTTGAATTAAGTAAATAATTATTTAACAAAAACAAACAGAAAACGTTACTTTTCAAAATCCGGGCCAGAACCATTTACTTACATGACATTGATACAGTTGTTTGAAAAAAAAGAAATCAGTGCAGGCAGTCTCTCCAAAAGTCTCTACTAAAAAATCATAATACTTTTGAGTCGGACAAGCTATAGTAGATGGCACTCAGAAGTACCGTGTGCTCAATTTGGGATCATGCTGAACTACGGAGCGGATAGCTTTAGTTTAAATTTTAAAAAGGTCGATTCGTGGAGTCTTTAAGGTTCTCAACCTATTTAGTTTGGTCCTATTGGCGACGGACGATACATTTGGAGGTCTTTAAATAGCCTAATAGTGTTGACAGGAGTCTAAACCTATACTATTACGAACACTCAGAAGTACATGCACCAGTAATTTGTTTGTTAATATAGAAATTGAAATGGATTTCTTCTTTAGTTGTTGTTGTTGCTTCATTTTGTGTTATATTTCATGTAAATTTTCAGAATGGCTTTGTCTCTCCTGACATGTGCTGTTTTAATGGCTTTTTGATCCCTGTATTTCTTTGCTACTTTGTACTTTAGAGTAGTTGTAGCAGAGGTTATAGTCTCGTTTGGGTTTGGGTTTAGATGTTTTTGTTGCTGTTGTTTTGAGTGGGGAGGGTTGGGGGGGGGGGCTTTAAGTGTGTAGGAAACTTTAACCTCACCCCCCCTCCCGACCCCACCACTCATGTTTAAAAAAATACAGAGACAGGCTGGCTTCAGTATCGAGGTGACCGTACTACCGTATTCGCCCGGGCAGATCATCTACGAGTACAACGGAGTGGGAGATCGATTCTGGGATACTTTCTATGAAGCAAAGTGTGATGATCGATGCTATCTTTCCCTCAAGTCGACTACAACTACGACTACACCGGAGATAACCAGCGGAACTACTGATGCCATCTCCACCAAAACCACCATCGTTATTAGCAGTACTGACGACAGCAACAACACCTTCAGTACCAAAAGCGAGAACAGTGATAATGGCAACAACACTATCACCATCGCAACAACCACAACAACAGAACCACATGAGCAGCAACAACAATAACCACAAACAAATAAGACAACAAAAAAGAATAGCAGTAATAACAACATGGCTGCTGCCACCACTACTTGATGATGATGATGATGATGATGATGATGATGATGATGATGATGATGATGATGATGATGATGATGATGATGATGATGAATAGCAGCACACTTGCCTGATGAGCCAGTTCATGGGCCACCACCTCCGTTACTCTCTCCTTGTTGTTTTCGTTTGAAACGTCTTCGTTGAACAGCATGTCACTTTGTCTATGGGCAGGAAAACACAAACGTCCAGTTATGTACACCCTCTTACCACACAAAATACGGATGGGAAAACACAAACATCCAGTTATGTACACCCTCTTACCACACAAAATACGGATGGGAAAACACAAACGTCCATTTACACCCTGTTACCGCACTGAATACAGACGAGGAAATACAGACATCCAGTCCCACCCTTTTTCTGTACATAATACAGACGAGGAAACAGACATCCAGTAACACCCTTTTACCACACAAAACACAGGCAGGAAGACGCGAAATCTATGTAGACGTGTTCAAGCGTATCTGGGCCCATTTTGTATTTTTTGCTATTCAAGCTTCACCCGTTTATCAAATCTTAAAGTGCAACAGACAGACTGGTAAAATTCTATACGTCAAAGATGAAATTCTAATCTAAAATCGATTGGATTTGCATTTTGGAAATGTTATTGAATTTCTTCTTAAAATCTATTACAAAAGTTTTATAACCTGGAGACTATTAAATACCTACTTTGAACTCGAAGCTTTATTGCTGTTGTTACATTTTGTTGTTTTGCTTGTTGTTGTTGTTGGTATAGTGGTGTCGTCGTAATTATTTTTTATTATTGTTGTTGTTTTTGTTGTTGTTGTTGTTATTGTTGTTACGAAATAGGATCTTTTCAAAATATTTTGAAACTTCCATTATGAGAGAAATTTAGGGCTATTAGATTCACCACCACAAGGACGTGGATTCGAGTCCCGTCAGGGGCCCCACGTTGTGTCCTTGTGAAAGGTACGTTATACCAATTTTCTTTATTTCATCCAGGTAGGGATGGGTACCCAGTTATAGACAGCGAAAGATCTTGTCAGTATGTTAGTGTTTAAACGTGTGTTATCAGCAGCTTACACTAAATGCTTCCCGGGAAGCCGAGATCGTTTCGGAGTGTTCAAGGGTTTGCTGGGGCAATATCGATTGTACGCATGGAGTTTGCTGCAGAGCGTGGATGTGCAATTGAATGGAAGACCCGGGAACAAGACGATGCCACGTCCAAAATGACAAACAATGAGTTATTGGTATTTATAAACAGAGAAGACTTTCCTGCATCCTTTAATAGTGCACATGACTCCCTACCGTTAACGGTGTAGGGAGAAAAAGGAAAAAAACTGCAACGAGTCCCAAAGCAAATGTAGACATGCGTCCATGTGTTGTTGTTGTTGTTGTTGTTGTTGTTGTTGTTGTTGTTGTATTGTGTTGTTTTTTTCTCCCGTTCAGCAACAATTGTGTTAGGCTCAGTTTTGTTCTCAGACCTTCAATCATTACATTTAAATCAGTGTTCAGTGTGAAAAACAATATGCCCCATAGAAAAAAAATTGATTGTCCGTGAAATGATTAATACTATTAAAATACTATTATTTACACGATGCTGCCACCGCTGTGTCTATGTTGGAATGGTTAGGTGCTTCGCTGTCTCACGCAATAGACCTGAGTTCCATTATCGAGCGAGTGCAGAGAATTTTTTATCTAAAATCTCTTGGTCTCTCTCTGCCCGGGTTGGTCTTGGAAGGCTGATCGGAAGTCTGTCATCTAAATTATCTAAATTGTCATGATGGAGGCCTCAAAAAAGCACACATACAAAAAACAACAACAACAAAAACATAATCCAGAGAGAACACAATCTGGGTTTACCGATAGGTGATGAGTCCCCAGTTTTCCATGGCTCCCATGGCAAAATCTGGGATGGCAATCATGTCTGAAAATTTCAGAGGAAGAAAAGAGAATGAATATTGGGTGCAACTATGGAGATTTTCCTTCTGTTGCACAGACGCACGTTCACTCTCTCTCTCTCTCTCTCTCTCTCTCTCTCTCT